TCCTCATAATGCTAAACATACATTTACCACAAGACCCAGCAATTCCACTCCTAGGTATAATCCAAGAGAGGTAAAAACACATCCACACACACAACTGTAGTTGAATGTTCTCTGTAGCTTTATTCAAAATAGTAAGAAACTGAAAAAACCCAATGTCTATCAAAAAGTAAATGGATAAACAAGTTGCGGCATATTCCACTTTTATTGGAGTGTCACACCAATAAAAGGAAGAAGCAATAAAAGGAAAAACGACTCATATCCACAACAACATAGGTAAATCTCAAAAATACACTGGGGGCTGGGGAAGTGAGACAGAAAAGAATCTGATTTGATTCCATTTATTGGAAGTTCTAGAATAGGCAAAACCATTCTTTAGTGGTGGAAATCAAATCAGTGGTTGTCTGGAGGAGAAAGGATAGTGGCATAAAGACTGTTAAGTCTCACGCCTGTAATCCCAACACTTTGGGAGGCAGAGGCGGGGGCGGGGGGAGGGCGGGATCGCTCGAGCTCAGGAGTTCAAGACCAGCCTGAACAACATGGTAAAACCCTGTCTCTACAAAAAATACAAAAAATTAGCTGGGTGTCCTGGTGCAAGCCTGTGGTCCTGGCTACTTGGAGGCTGAGGCAGGAAGACTGCTTGTACCTGGAAGTCAAGGCTGCAGGGAACCAAGATCTCACCACTGCACTCCAGCCTGGTTGACAAAGAGACTGTCTGAGGGAAAAAAAAAAAAAGTGATGGAACTGTCTATATATTGACTGGGATAGTGGTTAAATAGATGTATACTTTTGCCAAAACTCAAACTCTACACTTCATATGTGTGCATTTGACTGCATGTAAATTAAACCTCAGTAAAGTTGATATAAAAATAAAAATTATTATATAATATCCACATCTGTAAGTGTGAAATAGGAATCTACCATCTGAGTGAACAGCATAACCCCTATTCTACTTTTAGATTGCTTTGAATTGTTTTGCTATTATGAATAATTTTATTATTAAAGATCTAGTAGATGAAATCTGTACATATCTGCAGCATAAAACTGCTTAAATAAAATACATGCTTTTTCCTTCGACTCCCATATCTTTGTGGAAAATAAGCTAAACTTTGGATATTTCCACGTCTTACAAGGTTATTTCATGAAAGTAATGAAAAGAAAATTAAGCCACAGCTAGTTTGCCCCTACTTCTGCTTTGGCTTCTTTGTCCTAATCTCCAATAAATAACAGAACACATATTTCAAGCCTAGTATAGTTAAAAACCTCAGCAACGTAGCCAGGTGCAGTGGCTCACGGCTGTAATTCCAGCACTTTGGGAGGACAAGGCGGGCGGATCATGAGGTCAGGAATTCGAGACCACCCTGGACAACATGGTGAAATCCTCTCTCTACTAAAAATACAAACATTAGCCAGGCGTGGTGGTAGATGCCTGTAATCCCAGCTACTCTGGAGGCTGAGGCAGGAGAATCACTTGAAACCAGAAGGCAGAGATCGCAGGGAGCTGAGATGGCACCACCGCACTCCAGCCTGGGCAACGAGAGCACAACTCCATCTCAAATAAACAAAAGAAACCTCAGCAACAAATTATAACATTAAGTCAGATAGCAGCAGCATCTCAAGTTTATCAAAGCCATAATGTAAGGAACAAGAGTTAAATTCACCAAACACTGCAAAAATACCATTATAGTCCATTACAAATAAAATTCAGATTCTATTTCTTAGGAGGCACAGATTTCACCTGTTAGATTTTTAAGGGCCAGGCACAGTGGGGCTCACACCTATAATCCTAACACTGTGGGGTTTTTTTTGTTTTTTCGGTTTTTTTTTTTTTTTTTTTTTGAGACAGAGTCTCACTCTGTCACCCAGGCTGGAGCGCAATAGCCCGATCTCTGCTCACTGCAACCTCCACCTCCCAGGTTCAAGCGATTCTTCTGCCTCAGCCTCCTGAGTAGCTGGGATTACAGGCGCGTGCCACTGCAGCCAGCTAATTTTTGTATTTTTAGTATAGATGGGGTTTCAACATTTTGGCCAGGCTGGTCTCGAACTCCTGACCTCATGATCCACCCGCCTCGGCCTCCCAAAGTGCTGAGATTATAGGCATGAGCCACCACGGCCTGCCTCTAATCCTAACACTCTGGGAGGCTGCAGTGGGAGGATAACTTGACGCCAGGAGTTCGAGACAGCCTAGGCAATATAGTGGGACTCTGTCTCTACAAAAAATATTTTAAAAATTAGCCAAGCCTGGTGGTGCATGCCCTGTTGTCCCAGCTACCTCAGAGGATCGCTTGAACCCTGGAGGCAGAGGTGGCAGAGGGCCAAGACTGCACCATTACACTCTAGCCTGGATGACAGAGAGAGACCCCATCTCAATGAAAAATGAAAATTAAGCATTCAAGATTGCAAAGCCGGGCACGGTGGCTCAAGCCTGTAATCCCAGCACTTTGGGAGGCCGAGGCGGGTGGATCACGAGGTCGAGAGATCGAGACCATCCTGGTCAACGTGGTGAAACCCCGTCTCTACTAAAAATACAAAAAATTAGCTGGGCATAGTGGCACGTGCCTGTAGTCCCAGCTACTCAGGAAGCTAAGGCAGGAGAATTGCCTGAACCCAGGAGGCGGAGGTTGCGGTGAGCCGAGATCGTGCCATTGCACTCCAGCCTGGGTAACAAGAGCGACACTCTGTCTCAAAAAAAAAAAAAAAAAAGATTGCAAAGCATTTTTTTCTGACCAAGTATTTGAAAAATAATTTATTCAGCCAAATAATATCCAACATTAGCAAAACCTTTAAAGACACTGAAGTAAATCAAACATATGGTCTATAAACCTCTTAAAATATTTATGAAAACTATATGCAAACATGGGAAAGTTCTTATGTTAAATGCAAAAATGAAGATTACAAATCGTTTATATTTTTGCCCATAAGGTACATTATGTAAAACACAAAAATTGTTGAGTTAGGGTGACTGGAACTATGTTTAAAACTTTAACACACTATTATATCATCTTCTCAATTACACAGAGCTTTTTAAATGAACTCCCTACCTTCTCCACAACACATCTTGAAAATCTAGAGATCTCTGAAATTGAAGGAAAACAGACTCCTGGCATATGAGAAGAGAGACATTTCCTTTGACTTTTCACTGGTTCACTGCTCAGGTGTTCATTACAGCTGTACTAGAAACTACACTGTAAAGATAAGAAACTACTCTATCAAAATGTAAAGTCTGTCCTTTCTAATTTTTGCATTTAAATCAGATGATTCGTCCAGTTTGTCTCCTTTTCATTTAACTCTGCCTCCTTGCTATCTTACTTAGATAAACAAATTGAAGAATATTCTTACTAATTATCTAAGCAATCATACCATACTTTGCCTTTAAACTCTTGAGATATGAGATTTAGACATGTGTAAGCAATGAATGCAGCCAAAATAGGTGAAGCTTGAACAGATCTAAGCAAAATTCCCATTCTGGACCACCAAATATCAAAGACATTTGGAATGCTGTTTTAGAAATAATAACATGTTGTACCTCACATCGTAGAGCATCTAATTCATTGATAAATGATAAAAGCACAACAAGAGAAAGTAAATGGCCAAAATGTTCCAAAATGCTTGCATTTTCTAATAAATAGTAAAATCTGGTCAACAACTTTTAAAATAAAAAATTACTACCTTAATTACTTTTAGGATCAAATTCTATCATCTAGAATATGAGACAATGGTTTTCTAAATAGGTAAAATCCCTTTAGAAAGCAATTTCACTGGCAATATGCATCTAAATATATGAAAATGCTCATAATCTTTTAACTAATAATTGTATTACTGAGAATTTATCCTAAGGCAATGACCAAAATATGAGCTTCGAAAGGGCAAGAATTTTACAATGGCATGCAGAACACTCTCAAGTATCTCTTATAAGAATAAATTAAATAATCCTAAACACAAAAAAGTTTTTTGAGACAGAATACTCGCTTGGTCACCCAGGCTAGGGTGCAGTGGCATGATCTCGGCTCACTGCAACCTCCGCCTCCCGGGAACATGTGATTCTCCTGCCTCAGCCTCCTGAGTAACTGGGATTACAGGCCCATGCCACCACCACCATGCCCGGCCTGTTGTTTTTTAAACCACTTTTTTTTTTTTTTTTTTTTTTTATGAGAGGGAGTTTCGCTCTTGTTACCCAGGCTGGAGTGCAATGGCGCGATCTCGGCTCACCGCAACCTCTGCCTCCTGGGTTCAGGCAATTCTCCTGCCTCAGCCTCCTGAGTAGCTGGGATTACAGGCACGCGCTACCATGCCCAGCTAATTTTTTGTATTTTTGGTAGAGACGGGGTTTCACCATGTTGACCAGGATGGTCTCGATCTCTTGACCTCGTGATCCACCCGCCTCGGCCTCCCAAAGTGCTGGGATTACAGGCTTGAGCCACCGCGCCCAGCCTAAACCACTTTTTATTTTACATTTTTTGTATTAAAAAATATGGAACGTCAGCCGGGCACGGTGGCTCACGCCTGTAATCCCAGCACTTTGGGAGGCAGGCAGATCACCTGAGGTCAAGAGTTCGATACCAGCCTGGCCAACATTGTGAAACCCTGTCTCTACTAAATATACACAAAAATAGCCAGGCGTGGTGTCTCACACATGCAGACCCAGCTACTTGCAAGGCTGAAGCAGGAGAATCGCTTGAACCTGGGAGGCAGAGGCTACAGTAAGCTGAGATTGTGCCACTGCACTTCAGCCTTGGCAACAGTGTGAGACTTTTTCTCAAAAAACTTTTTTTGTGTTTAGGATTATTTCAGTTTATTCACAAGAAATACTTAAGAGTGCTCTGCATGCCATTGTAAAATTCTTGCCCTAAGAAGCTCATATTTTGGTCATTGCCTTAGGATAAATTCTCAGTAATACAATTATTAGTTAAAAGATTGAGCATTTTTATATCTTTAGATGCATATTGCCAGTGAAACTGCTTTCCAAAGGGAAAATATATATACAGACATATATGTATACACATATATATATGGAACATTTCATGAATCTGCTTGTGATCCTTGCACAGGGGCCATGCTAATCCTCTCTGTATCTTTCTAATTTTAGCATATGTGCTGCTAAAGCAAGCACCTAAATAAAAAAAAAAAAGCTAAGCAAAAAAAAAAAAGCTAAGCACAAACACATCCATTATTATTTAGGTTGTTTCCATTTGTCTTTATAAAAAGTCAATAGAGGGACAGAAAGCCAAGACAATTACAGTACAATAATTGAATAAACTAGAAAGCAATCATTTAAAATTGTAAACATGAAGAACAAAATAATCTAGAAATATGTTTAAGCCAGTGCTATGACAAAAGTGGATTACAAAAATACAAATCTATAAAACTTCTAAAAGGAAACACAGGAGAAAATCTAGGGGGTTGGCAATGAGATCTCAGATACAACACCAAAAAGCATGATCTATGAAAGAAAAAAATTGCTAAGTTGAACTTTATTAAAATTAAAAACTTCTGCTATGCAAAAGGCACTGTTAAAGAGAATGAAAAAAAAAAGAAGACTAGAAGAAAATATGTGCAAAACACATATCTGATAAAAGAGTTGTATCCAAAACACACAAAGGGCGAGAAAAACTCAACTGGACAGATACCTCACCAAAGAAGATACAGATGGCAAATAAGCATATAAGATGCTCAATATCATTCATCAACAGGGAATTGCAAATCAAAACAAGATACCACTACACACCTATTAGAATGGCTAAAATCCAAAAAACGGATAATACCAAATGCCAAATGCTAGTGAGGATGTGGAGCAACAGCAATCCTCATCCACTGCTGCTGGAAATACAAAATGATACAGTCACTTGGAAGACAGTTTGGCAGCTTTTTACACAATCTTAACATAAAATCCAGCAATCACATTCCCAGATATTTACCCAACTGAGTTGAAAACTTACATCTACACAAAATCCTGCACATAAATTGCTATAGCTGCCTTATTCATAAGTGCCAAAAAACTGTAAGTAACCAAGATGTCCTTCAATAGATGAATAGACAAGCAATCTGTGGAACAGCCATACAACTAAGTATTATGCATCTGAAAGAAGAAATGAGCCATTAAGCCATAAAAGGCCGGGGCAGTGGCTCACACCTATAATCCCAGCGCTTTGGGAGGTCAAGATGGGCATATCACCTGAGGTCAGGAGTTTGAGACCAGCCTGGCCAACATGGTGAAACACCGTAACTACTAAAAATACAAAACTTAGCGAGGCATGGTGGCAGGTGCCTGTAATCCCCGCTACTCAAGAGACTGAAGCAGGAAAATTGCTTGAACCCAGGAGGTGTTGGTTGCAGTGAGCCAAGATTGCACCACTGCACTCCAGCCTGAGTGACAGAGTGAGACTCCATCTGAAAAAAAAAAAAAAAAAAAAAAAAAAAAAAAAAAGGCCAGGGGCGGTGCCTCACACCTATAATCCTAGTACTTTGGGAGGCCCAGACAGGCGGATTGTCTAAGCTCAGGAGTTCGAGACCACCCTGGGCAAAATAGTGAAATCTCGTCTCTACTAAAATACAAAAGAAATTAGCCGGGCATAGGGGCAGGAGCCTGTAATCCCAGCTACTTGGGAGGCTGACGTAGGAGAACTGCTTGAACCCAGGAGGCAGAGGTTGCAGTGAGCCAAGATCATGCTACTGCACTCTAACCTGGGCAACAGAGCAAAACTGCATCTCTACAAAAAAACCAACCAAACAAACAAACAGAAAAACAGTCATGAAAAGACATGCAGGAACCTTAAGTCCATGTTGCTAAGGGAAAGAAACTAGTCTGAAAGGCTACTATATATTTACGATTCCAATTACATGACATTCCAGAAAAAGCAAAGATCAGTGGTTACCAGGGTCCTGTGGGTAAGAATAGGATGAATAAGTGAAGCACAGGGAATTTTTAGGGTAGTGAAATTATTCTGTATGAGACTATAATGGCACATATATGACATAATGCATTTGTCAAAACCTATAGCACTTTATAGAACAAAGAATGAACCTTGGCCAGGAGCAGCTGCTCACACCTGTAATCCTAGCACTTTGGGAAGTCAAAGTAGGTGGATTGCTTGAGCCCAAGAGTTCAAGACCAGCCTGGGTAACATGGCAAAACCCCATCTGTATTTAAAATAAAATAAAATAAAGTAAACCTTAATATATGCAAATATTTTTAAAATCAGGAGGTTGGAAGAATCCCTGACTGTGGCAAGAGAACGTAACTGTACTTCAAAGATATTTTTAAAAACCTCACTAAAGTGAGTGGAGAAAAAGGTATGGATCTAAGTGACTGAAAATGAAAAGAGTCTGTAAGACTAAACGCAAAAGGGACTACTAATAAGTACTGTACTAGAGCCAATAAAGCTGTTCTCCACAAGGGTACTGGTTAACAATTATGATACTGCTAAGCAAGCGTACTGGAATTGAACAATTAAATAAATGGATGGCAGATGGAAGAAGCCAAATTTCTCACTGTGGGAATGGAAATTCATAGATCATCAAGGGGAGGAGGCTAGAATGATCCACGCGGTAATGCAGTAGAGATGGAGAATCAGAACTCATGTTTAATTTAAGACAGAGGGTTACATAGAGAAGCATTTATAGATATGTATATACACAAGGGTTAATACACCCACATATATTTCTCTGCTCTGTCAGCCAAAATGACCTAAAAAGAAACCACACCCTAATGCCCAGATCTTAGTTTGTAATTCTAATAAACGAACCAGGGCCCTTTAAAAAATGGTTGTTTCTAGGACTACAGCAGGAAATATATAAGATGAGCCTGGAGCACTTTGCAGTAGTAGAAAACAAAACAAAAACTATCTTGTCTCTCTTCAGTCATGATTTAGTGTAACCATTGTCCCGCCTTAGCAACTGCCTAAACACAAATGAGCAGAAAACAACTACCTCAAAGTTAGAGTCTCAAAATTACAATCAATTTCAGCTTTCTCTTCCTGACTTTATCTTTTATTTTTTGAATCTCATGCTACAACAGTATTCACTTCTTGATTTTTAAAACCATTGTCATAAAACTTTCCTTTTTTTTTTTTTTTTTTTTTTTCCTGAGGCGGAGTTTCACTCTTGTTACCCAGGCTGGAGTGCAATGGTGCGATCTCGGCTCACCACAACCTCCGCCTCCTGGGTTCAAGCAATTCTCCTGCCTCAGCCTCCTGAGTAACTGGGATTACAGGCACGTGCCACCATGCCCAGCTAATTTTTTGTATTTTTAGTAGAGACGGGGTTTCACCATGTTGACCAGGATGGTCTCGATCTCTCGACCTCGTGATCCACCCGCCTCAGCCTCCCAAAGTGCTGGGATTACAAGCTTGAGCCACCGCGCCCGGCCCAAAACTTTCTTTTAATGCCATAATTCTGACACATTATTGTTACTAAAAGACAATGTAAAAGTGTCTGGGCTAAAATAAGACCAAAAATAAAAACAAACCAAAAACACCCTCATCTAATTCTAATTAGGTCTCATCTTTGGTAAATGAGGGGGAAAACAAAAAAATGTTAACCACATACAGACCAAATTGAACAAATTTCCAGGATTCTATGGAGAGAGCCTTACTTCCCAAATCCTTTGGTGCCTTTTTTTAAGTGTGAAAAGATTCAATTTTGTTTTTCTTTTTGAGACAGAGTCTCACTCTGTTGCCCAAGCTGGAGTGCAGTGGCCTGATCTCAACTCACTGCAACCTCTGCCTCCCAGATTCAAGTGATTCTCCTGCCTTAGCCTCCCTAGTAGCTGGGATTACAGGTGTATGCCACCACACCCAGCTAATTTTTTTTTTTTTTTTTTTTTTTTTTTGACACTGAGTCTCCCTCTGTTTTCCAGGTTGGAGTGGACTAGCTCAGTCTTGGCTTACTGCAACCACTGGCGCCTGGGTTCAAGTGATTCTTTGGCTAATTTTTGTATTTTTAGTAGAGACGAGGTTTCACCATATTGGCCAGTCTGGTCTTGAACTCATTTCCTCAAGTGATATGCCCACCACAGCTTCCCAAAGTGCTTGGATTACAGGCATGAGCCACTGTGCCCAGCCAGATTGAATCTTTATACCAATATTGTTATTTTATTTTATTTTATTTTTAATTTTTGAGATGGAGTCTCACTCTGTCACCCAGGCTGGAGTGCAGTGGCACAATCTCAGCTCACTGCAATCTCCACCTCCTGGGTTCAAGTGATTCTCCTGCCTCAGCTTCCCAAGTAGTTAGAATTACAGATGCATGCCACCATGCCTGGATAACTTTTGTATTTTTAGTGAAGATAGGGTTTTGCTATGTTGGCCAGGGTAGTTTCAAACTTTTACCTCAAGTGATCTGCCCGCTTTGGCCTCCCAAAGTACTGGGATTACAGGCATAAGCCACCATGCCTGGCCAATATCAATATTTTTAAAGCACCTACATCCAGAAGTTTAACACTGGGAAAAAGGGAGTATTCATAACAATAAAAGTTGGTTCTGGCAAAGCTGAGAAACTGAGAAGTATGTTAATAGGCATCTGGTCTTCCCAAAAAGGGAAAAAAAGAATAACTTCTCAAATAACCTGCTTACCATCACTGGGACTTTTTACCTTTGACAGGGTGTTCTATTTACAAAGAATCCTGCCCGAGGCAGAAAAAGTACAAGTAAGACTCATCTGTTCTTCAATCTTAATACCTCTAGCCAGAAGTAACAAGGGTTTACTACTTGGGAAGAAAGAGTTATAGATTCCTCAAACCTTCTAACTCCAAGGCAATCAGTATACAAATATAATCAGGTAGATTTATTTCTGAATAAATGAATCATATTTGTTACTCAGAGAAAAAAAGCATAATAAGGCTTAAGGCTTTAAGATATTTAAAAAATAAATATAAAAATATAATCAAGCTATTCAGAAAAAAAACCCTCATTTATTATCTGATAATTACCTGTAAAGCCAATGTAACCACTTGTCACTAACAATAAAAACAAACTCATCCATTTCCCTCTTAGAATACAAAATTCCAGTCTTAGAATTTTAGGCCAGGTGAGGTGGCTCACTCCTGTAATCACAACACTTTGGGAGGCCAAAGTGGGAGGGTAGCTTGAGACCAGGAGTTTGAGATCAGCCTGA